ACCCGCGACTTCGTCCGCGTAGAACTTATCCAAATAAACTTTAGACCTATAATAATTCTTGGATTTGCTGGGACAATGTTAAGTCAAAGTAAGTGGCATTACCTATATAAATGAAGCTAAGCTTCGCTTGACACATTTGCGATTAATACATAAAGAGACAGAAAAACTGTTTTCCCGGGTAATTGTCTTATATATGTACAACACATTGTTTATAATTGAATTTGTTTGAATTAATAATTGTTACAAACATTAATTAAAAACTGTTTGGCTTACTCGGCCTAAAAAGTTTATAATTATTTAATTTAGCTTATAAGTAGCTGGCTTATAAATACTCTAAGGTTACACAAGTAAATACCGATCTATATATTAAATGCGATTTAATTTAAAGTTGAAAGTCTGTATTAATTTCTTAACGTATCACTTTACCTTCTTTCTAATATTTTTTTGTAGTAAAATGGTGATGATGTGAAAAAAAAATCAGATAATAATGACGAAATTAAAAACATTGACTATTAAACAACCTAAACTTGAAAATGAGATTCATTACATTTATACATAATTTTGAGAATTTTCATAAACGTGATTTATGTAGTTGTAAAGTTAGTTGAACTACTAAAAAGTAGTTCATATTCGTACTCCTTTTTTGCTAGTATGTTGATGTTTCCATTTCGTTAACTCTGAAATCTTTTTATTTACGGTAAATTTGAAAGGCGCTGGGATTTTTTTAGCTTTGTTGGTTTAGTGAACTTTATATTATTTATGTATATTTTTTATTTAAGTTTTTACATATCGTTTTCTTTTTTACAGTTTTAACCTTTACTTTTAAAAGGCAAAACCGGTTATATGAAAATTATTTTACACACAACATATTCATTATACATACATACTCTGTAAAGTGTAACAAATATTCACATAACTTTTTTGTTCTACAAACAATTAATTAGCAAATTTACGTACTTACCTATCAGCGTAATTACTCACATGAAAGAATGTGAAGAATCTAAGAATCAGCTTAATTATAGGCTGTGGAGCATTCCGTCTAAGTTCTTAAAGGTGAAAACGCATCTGTATCCTCATTTGTTTGCTTGGCTGCAGATGCGTTGTCACCTCACTATCACAGTCTCCATACTGCACTGGCCAACTTACCTTTGATGGTCTGGTCTACTCATTTCGTAGAGCTATCGTTAAAAAAAAGTACAATGCGTGATAGTGGATTTAACAGTTCCCCGAAATGTTTATATTTACTACTAGCGATCCGACGCGGCTTCGCACACGTGATTTCTGGATATCGACAACAGCGCCACCTACCGGGTCCAATTGTGAATCTAAACCATACTCGAATCAACTTAATCACACACATAAAATTTCATCAAAATCGGTTGAGCCGTTTAGGAGAAGTTCAGTCACATACACTTACACACACACACTACAAACTACATACATACACACTACAAACCTTCCTCTTGAATCATTCTGTCTATTCATGAAATCCGTTCCGTAGTTTAAAAGATCTAAGCGTACAGACGGCGGGAAGCGACTTTGTTTTATACTATGTAGAAAAGATATGCAGATTTCTTCACGAAGCTTTCCTTCTCCAACGAAGTGGTAAATCAACACTTAAAATTGTAACTAACAATTTGGGCCGGTGTGAAATCGAACTCTGAACTCTGATTGCTCGTGTACTGTGACATTTAAAGGCGGGCGCTAACAATAAGCTTAATTTTCACGTGGTAGAGCCATGCTGCAACTATATTATGTTTGTAGCACGAATGGGTCGGCTCGACCGGGGTAAGACCACGCTCTCACACATTGAATTTCGTTTGGTGAGTGTAGAGAACCGGATACCCTTTTTACTGGATATAAGGCATTCCATCTTAGTCCTCAGGGGGACAACGCATCTGCATTTGGATTCTTAATCGAAGATAGATGTCTATGAGACACAGCAACCACTTACCATCTGGTGGACTGTGTTCTCGCTTGTCACCCTTATACTATAAAAAAATCGCCAGAGCCTTCAATTGAATATAATACGAGTCTATACGATATGTCCTTTATTGTTGTTTATAAGAAAACCCGTTCTTCCTTGTATTATACGTATATTACATTGACGGCCAAGTCCATGTTTTCCTTTTCCATTCTTTATGTCGACGGTTATGATAATCTCTTAAATTTATATTATGGGTAAATAAAATTACCGTGGAACTTACTGTATATGTATGTTTCATGTCACGAAGGCGAACGAGCCTTACCCCGCTGCTACGCAAATGTCACATTAATTATTTTCTGACATCACCGCTGACTACTTTTTTCCGTTTACTTTCTGTTCCGACTGTACTCGATAATAATTTTTGAGTGTTGAGCTTACGCACACTAAGACAACGTGCATGTATATCTACAGTACAAGTAAAACCAACCCGCCATCGTGGAATAAAAATACTAAAGCTAAATAATAAAGCTCGAACACCGGTGTGGTAATGAAAGGCCATAAACGGTCTTACAAAATCGATGTCAATTTAATAGGTGCTTAAAGTTTCGCTCTCTCTTTTCACTGAGCGACAATAGAAAGAGACAGGTATACAGATAATAATTCAACGATTATAAGTAGGACCGATAACTTATAAGTCATGATGATGTTCATGTTCAATTTACAATAATAACTAAATAATTGTAATTTTCTTCTTTTACCAGGCTTAGCCAGTACCTTAAATCCTGGAACAGATAAAAATATCATCGTCATCATCTTTAACCCGTTACTGGACTAGGCCTATGTTTAGCAGTGGTCTTGAGTGTTATCCATCGACTTCCTGCAGCTCTTTCCTGGTCATCACTCCATGCATTAAGGCGCCGCCCTTACTTCTTCAATTCACTTACCGTTGCGAGGCTACCACTCGAGATATAAATATATAAAAATAAAATATTAATAAAGCAGCTAATCGGATAGCGTAGAATCATTTTTTTTAATATTGATTATTCATTCATTCAATTACATGTAGGTAATTCTTATTGAGTCATTTTTAACAATTACCACTGGTTCGGAAAAAAGACGTCTCTTGTGAAGAACCAGCAAGAAACCCAGAGGGACTTTTTATTTTAAAGCATAACTTACAATATAATATTTATACAATTGTTATGAAAACATTTAGAAATATCTTAACTAACTTTGTAATATCTCTTTGAATAATCTTAACTTTGTAATACATAAACTAAATAATAAAACTGGAAGCCATAAGAAAATGGTCGTGTAAATTTGACGTTTTAGTTAATCCAGCCAAATGCAAAGTCATAATCTTCGGAAGTTCGCAATTATTGGATAAGGTAGATTGTAGAAATCTCTCTCTTGTAATTTATATTTAATGTATATTTAAAAAATCTTGGATTGTACATGGACTAAACTATGACCTGGAAATCACAGATCTCTGAAGCAAGTCGTAAAGTTGTTGCCACCTTCTTCGTTCCTTTATCGTCTTAAAAATTTCCTACCTTTCAAATCCAAGCTTACGCTGGTTCATTCCCTCATTCTACCTATTATCGATAATGCAGATGTATGTTATCCAGATCTGTCACAAAATCTTCTAAACGAAAGCTACTAAAGAAGGCGCTCCAACTTGAGCGCCTTCTATTAAGAATTCCATAAGGTTTATTATCGGTTTACGTAACTATGACCGCATATCTTCCTCTCATTCAAAGCTTAAATGGCTACCTGTACGCCAAAGGCTATGCTCTAGAATTTTACTTGTACTTTATTCAATTTTAAACGATCCAAGGTCGCCTTCTTATCTTAAGGATAACTTTCGTTTTCTTCATTCATTTGACGGTCGAATACCACGACAATCACACCGTCTAAGGTTTCCACAGCATAGGTCTAATTTTTTCAGGTCCTCTTTTACGATACAAGCTATACATCTCCCTCCCCAATGATATTAAGAATGTAACAAATAAAAGGTCCTTTAAAATTACTTCTACGACAACATTACCTGAGGGCAATTACTAACTGACATTTTTTTTATTCAAATATTTATGTAATTAAATATATTAATATGAATATTTATTCATAAACTTTATAAACATGTATATACATTACATATATGTATGTATGTGTATTTAAATATATGTTGTGTATGTACTGTTTATATACTACATATTATGTTTCGCACCTGCCTACAATTGTTTTTGGCACCCAGGGTTGATTGGCAGAGAATGCCACATGGCATTAAGTCCGCCCTATGTACCCTTTACCTTAAGGTATCAAGTTTATTTAAGTTTTTAAATAAATGAATAAAAAGCGTGGTAGCGATCGTCCCATTCCCAGGGATTATTATGAGTCATGTACTCTTATTACATGATTGATAATAAGCCTTACTTAAACATTGTTTGTTTAAGAAATATTTTAAACCTTTTAGATAGATGATGAATAGTCTGCATATTTTCTGGGACTTTGTTGTAAAAGCGTATACATTGCCCCATGAAGGAATTACTGACTCTTTGGTGTCGAGTAACTGATATAACTAATTTTGCTTGTTCCTAGTGTGGTTCTGTTATATGTATTGTTAAAGTAAGATTTTGTTATTCGCTGTACGCTGTTTTGTTTAACTTTCCAAGGAATGTGGTTAATTTGCGCGACACCCATGTCTACCGTGGTCTACTACGAACACATAAAACATATGTATGTTAAGTCAAATAGCGATATCAACTATGTTAGTTGATATCGCTATTTGACTTAATTAACCCATACATTATATTTTTTATTATATTATATTAATATTATATCTATGTAACTTAATCTTTTAATGTAATTTTCACCAACTTGTAGATGACCGATTGACTTGAAAATTAGCTCTCGTACAAGGACCGATGACAATACAATAATTTAATAACTTTATTCTAGTATCCTGATCAGGATCATCAGGATAAAATAAAATAATTATCGGGATCAGTACAGCTCTCGTGATCAATGCGTGTTGTTTGAGTTTTTAAAAACTCTTAAATTATTATATCCGCAGAGCGTGTTGACGGGCGTAACCAACGGGTGCAGCGGCAAGTCAGCGCAACCGGCGACGTGCCTGCTGGTGCTGCTGCTGTCCGTGGCGCTGGTGGCGCTGCCGTCGGTGGAGCTGCGGCCGCGCCACGACGCGGCCAAGGCGCACGCGCACGCGCACGCCACCAACAACGCGCACGCGTCCCCCGCCATTACGCGTGCTCTCTTATCTGCCGCTAACAGTAAGTATTTTTGTGTAATTCACAAACTATTTTCTATCGACTTCAAACAGTAGACGATACCTCAATTCGACTATATGTTTTTATTTTATGTTTGTTACCTCATAACTTTTTACTGGGTGAACCGATTACGATGATTCTTTTTTTATTTAAAAGCTGGTGTTTATCATGTGGACACATAAAAAAAACATACAGTCGAATTGAGTACCGTCTCCTTTTTGGAAGTCGGCAGAAAAGTAATGGACCAAGATACGCTATTTGGTGGTTTAGAAAGTTAACAACCCCAGTAAAACCACAGAATAAATAATAATTTTTTTTCTACAAACCACTGAAACCAACAAGATAGCTTGTAGTTTTATTATTCTGTGGTACAGAATAAGTTATTATACAATAACTAAACTGAAAAATCTAATAAATGAGTGGAAACATTTCACATTTTACGTAAGTAGACTCCAACCGTGACGGCCGATTATGATCGGGTGGTGAGTGAAAGCGTAAAATTTGTTAGCGTTATTTAAGAAAAACGTAATTACTGTGAGCAAAAATTTTATGCTTTTAATGGAAAAGCTTGAAATACGAACACAAAAATGATATTTGAACTTAACACATTACCAGATATACACAAAAACGCTTGACTCAGTCTTACTGTGCGGATTCTAAACGCGTACTTCGAATTTCGCCTTACACGTTTACCTTATAATAAACGTTTAGAGGTAATGTAAGGATATCCACTGTCCCATATCGTCTAGTGGGTGACGTAATAGACGACTGAGGGATACAAAACAGATTGCCAGCAGAGTATTCCTAATAAAAACTAAATAATACAAAACTGCTGTTGTCAACCCGCCTGCCAAGTGTGGCAACAATGGCAAATATCCCCGCTATGGGGGCGACCGGTATAGCAGTGGATTTTTTTATAGACTGTAATGGTTTTTGCCGTGCGGTGGCGTTGTAAGAGTATAAACGTACCATTCCGTAGCCGACCGCAGACAGCAGCAGCAGGCGACGTGTCGTCGCGACACTACTGGTTTCTATGTAGTGCTATGAAATGCCTTCCGTAGCTAGCGACATGTCGTTTGCCGGAGCGGCAGACGACATGTCGCCCGACCGCAGTTCAGTAGTGCCGCCAACGCCCGAGCAGTCGGGTTCGGAATCATGACTGCAGCGACGTGTCGTCGCGACGACACGTCGCCTGCTGGTGCTGTCTGCGGTCGGCTACGGAATTGTACCTTAAGACAACACACGTTACGTCTCGCGGCTGTCGTTAGAGCAGACTATGAGTAACGCAAGAAAGATCTGATGGCTTACGTTAGCCTGCGTTATAAAATTATCAATCTTGTTCACGCCAGACGTAAAATATACAGAGCGGCTGAGCTAAAGAGTAGCGTCCATGGACAATATCAAACAGTAAGCTGAGGACTAAGATGGAATGCACTAGTATACTCCCTTTTACACTCGTACAACTTAAGTTTTATTTATAATCAATGGAATCACACTATAACTTAAATTGAAAATTTTAAAAACCCCCGAATCAAAAACAGCTGATGACCTTGAAACATTTGAACCGATTTTGATAAAACGTCTAAGAACCACCGCTAGAAAACCTGCTTCTGTAAACCTGTAATTCTGCTAGCTCTCTGTATCGTTCAGAGCTGTACGTAATAAATAGGAGTAATGTGTGTGTACATATAAAAATCTAAGCATTTTTAACGCCTTACTTTTCCTGCAGAAATGGCCCTCGAAGAAACCGTAATTGATGACGGAGAATTCAACATGGACGACCTGATCACTTTCAACCGGCCACATCTGGACCACGACTATCAAATCGTCAAGAACCTCGACTCCAACAAGCCGCTGCCCGGTGGTTACGTGGACCTTCCAATAGACGAAGACTGGCCGCCCAACTTGAAGAAGAGAATGAAAAAACTTGAATTCGATTACGACGACGGTAGAGATTACTTACCGCCAATCGTAAAGGACGAGAACTATGAGAACATTTACAAATTAAACTCTAAAGTCGACGAAAGCGAAATGAAGCTATTCGACAAAGAGTTTATTAATAGCGCTTTGCTTTCGACGAGCCGCAAAATCGGAGAACTGCTTGACGCCTTCCCTCCAATACCCGTGAACAACGAAGACCTTGTTATAGAAGAAGTCACAGATTATGACTCTAGAAACGCTAGTGAAGTTAAGAATTTCGTCGTCAATGGCAACGTCAATGAATTCTAAATCCGTTTAAACTAATGCTATATTTTACTTTCTTGTTAAACTTTATTCCTCTTAGAACAGATTATTCAATAGTCAGATAAAAGTTAACCATCCAATAAATTACAACCTGACTGAATACAAAAGGCGTACAAATTAACTATTTTATTCATACAACTTTAGTTGTATAACTTTTACCTGATCATTGAAAAATCAGCGCTTAAAAATATTATAAATTTATTGCACCATTATTTTATTGCTATGTTCAATGCAAATTCCTTTAGTGATGTAAGATATGTCGGGATATGTTAGCCATTTGTTATTATTTCCAAACGGAAAAATATTATTTTAGATTTTTACAATAAGATGTGGTCGAGTTGAGAGTTATGTCGCATAATTGTGTATTATTGATGAGAATTACGCAAATTGTTAAATATTTATTTTATACAACAAAATTAATATATTTTTCGTATACATTTTGTGTTAATTAAATAGTAAATATTATTTTCTTTTTTATTGTAGGTTTGATAAGGATTTTCGTGTTACGATTCGGTGCAATTATGTGTAGTTAGTTGCTGATCTTCAGTGTTAGTTGTTTTAAATATATGTATAAGGCTTTGATAAGTTCGTTCTTATTCCATCGAAACTAAACTTACACGTTGTTTTACTTCAGAGAATCGTTGGAATGAGACTGTTAATCGGAATAAATTGTAAATGTATACTCATTGTTTTCATTTACTAAACCTTGGTTAAACTAAGAAGACATTCATTAATTACATCCTATATAAAGTCCACACTGTTGAACATAGACCATCCCGATAGATTGCTTCATAGTGTCGGTTACTCTGGTTCAACTGCGGATGTCCTTATTTTTACGCAGAGAAACCCCGAACATAGCCCTCCATATATCGCTGAGCGACCTTGAGCATCCTCAAACGGTCAGTAGTGAAGGACCACGTCTTAGATTCATAAGTCATCACTGGCAACACGCACTGGTGGAACAATCTCGTTTTCAGGCTTTGAGGTATACTTAACAAGAAGATGTGTCGTAATCTCCCAAACGCTGCCCAAGCGAGTTGAATCCGTCGATTGTACTCTCGGTCGAAGTTGCACTTACCTAGTCAGGCTATTTGTCCTAGGTAGGCTAGTATGTTAACTCATCGACAACTTCGAGCGTAGTGCTTCTAAAAACTACCGGCATAGGTGTGACATAAACTTTACATGTGACCTTTGTTTTTTACATTTTTATCATCAGACCTACCCATTGGGAGACACAATTGAGGTCATTGAGAATATTGCTTAGATCCTGCAGTCATTCTGCCATAAGGACTATATCGTCAGCAAATCGAAGGTGAGTGATGTACGAGCCATTGATATCAATACCGTATCCTTTCTAGTCCAGTAGCTTGAAAACGTCTTCCAATACAGCGATGAATTTTCGGGGATTTAACTTCACCCTCTCTTACACCTCTCTTTTTTTTATAGGATATGGGTAACAAACGAGCACACAGTCCACCTGATGGTAAGTGGTTGCTGCGGCCCATAGACATCTACATCTATCCTCGTTTGCGAATCAAAATGCAGATGCGTTGTCACCCGTGAGGACTAAGATGGAATGCCTCATTTCCAGTAAAAAGGGCCTCCGACCACCTGCACTCACCAAGCGAAACGCAGAGGTAAACCTTCACGCTGGTATTCTGTGAGGTCGTGGTACCACCCCGGTTCGAGCCGGCCCATCCGTGCGACAGCAAAAGCTGCCGCGTGACTCTACCACTGTTGCAGTTGGATGGGTTTCATAATCTAGTTCTGTACTCGGATTGCCATCGTAGATCCACTATTCAAACACTTTAGCACTTCGATATACCGACAGTCAACCTCCCACCACTGAAGGGACTATAGCACAGCCAAAATTTCGACGGAATCAAAGGTTTTCTAATAGTACACATATGCAAGACAAATTGGCAGATTGTATTCTTCGGTCTTCTGTACAATTTGTGGAAGGGTATGTATGTGGTCTGTGGTACTAAAACCTTTTCGGAAACTGGCTTATTCAGAAGGCTGGAAATTGCCAAGTCTGCGTGTTATATAATTCCTAATGACTCACGAAAACGGCACGTAGATGCGGCTCATAAGAGAAATAGGTCAGTAGTTCTTCCAGAGAGCGTTGTCGCCTTTCTTGAAGAATAAGATCACCGCACTTCTGCTCCACGCTTTCAGAGTAGTGCCACTATAGAGGACGGAATTGAAGAGCTTTTGAATACCGCTATAACAACATTCTCGCCCGAGTCCTTGCCGCTTTTAAGGTGCTGGAGAGCTCAGCTCATTCAGACTGATGTCCGGGATATAATCGGATTCGGAATAGTATCAGAAAAGACTTGCTCTTAGATCGTTACTCGCGTGTAGTGACGGGTACAGCTTCCCGTAAAACCTCTCAATCTCACTCAAAATCTCAGGTGTCCTGGAAACATTGCTAACACATCCGGTCTTCAGCTTCGACAATCGGCTCTTTCTGCCAGACAGATCTCTGGCAAAGACTATGCAGCCTTGGTTCCGCTCAATCGCTTCTTCAATACTGGTTGTATTATGGCTCAGCCACACTGCTCCTCGCGCTGCCGCGGTGTTGCCCTCTCTGCCCACACTGCTATACTCGCGCAATTAATCGCGACGCCCGTACTAGGGACGCTCGCGTTTGCAACACAATGGATGTTGAAACTGCAGCAGCGTGCGCGCCATATGCATATTTAGTATAGCTAATTATATCAATGTCATAAAAAAGAAATATATAGCGTCGTTCTCGCCAACAGAGATGGTGGATGACATCTATTCATCGAACGCCGCTTCCGTAACGAGCGCTCGATTCGGACTGCGTTTGCGTGAGTATGTAGCCAGCCACTGGTGCTCATATTGCCAGTCCTTTGACTCGCGCCCAAACAACCGACAAAACAGAGAGGACAAAACACTAGGTCTCTGCTTCCTTTCCTCGCTACTTCCCATGCCACTCGATGAGTGTGTGGCCGGGGGGTTAAAGTTGCGCCGCATATTATACTGTCATATCTGCTACAGAATGCAGCTTCATTTCCCGTCTAACAACCATGAGAATAAGAGTGTGACTGGAGTTTTTGGGTTCTTCTGCGACGGGTCTTACAGTACTTAGCTCCGACCGCATGGACAGTTTCCACGAGCTCATCATATCGTCCACTATATTGCAATATTCTAGGCACTGGTAATTCAAGCTGAAAGTTTTTAGTCCAGTCAAATTAGCGATCAACCTCAGAGTGAGAGATAATAAGCTGAACTTTCGTATATGCATACCTTTCATTTTAGCCTTCTAAGTTGTCTCAAGTCTCATCAAATGTCGTGCATGCGTCTTAAGTTATTGAAAGTCAAAGGTAAAAAGAAAACAGTTTTTCGCGTTTATTTCGGTTTCTTTTGCCCCAATGATGTTAACATCTATTATAAAAATTGTAGAGCATAAAATTTGCGACAAATTTTATTTGAATTTTTTTTCATGCGCTGAACCGCTTTTGCGGTAGAGGGCGGTGAACACGTAGCGCTCAGCCATACGTACTGTTAATGCAAGGTCAACCGTGAATATCTATGACTACTACCTTGACTTGAATAATTTGTATTATTTATCAGTTAATACATTCTATTTAATAACGTTTTACATATTTTTAATACATTAATTTAATAATACTTACCTACTTTGTGTAATTAAAAACTCATTAAATGAATTACTTATTATATCCTAATTATCCACTAACCATTTTTGAACTTGGTAATAGATACGGTTTATATGCTGATGGGCTGCTGCACGTATCGGTGAATAATTAGATAACTGGACAGGTTTATGAAGTTTTGTAGATTTAACGACCTGAGTATGTAAGTATATCGAAGATGATCGATAATATCCACCGATTTTTGGAGCATTGTTTATCGCTAGTAAGATCCGAATTCCATTTTCGTATAATTGTTGGTCAGGACAGTTTTCTTGTAGAAAAAGTTGAGCTAATTCGTCGAAATTGGCAAGTTTTTCTAGTGATTTGATGAGTTTTTTTTTTGAAAAATAAAGATAGGTATGCAATAAGTCTCATACTTATCGAACACTAATAATTTAGGGATCTTATCGTATTTGGCTTGTAGGATTTTAAAGTAAATTTTATCAATTATACCTGTATGGGGCTCTATTCTTACTCTATACATTTAGGGTCTTGAGTCTAATGGCAGCTAAACTCACTTCTTGCTGTATGTGTAGGTGAAGCGGGGTTAGCTCCAGCTTAGCTTCCAAGACTGCTGTTGGTGTAGTTCTTACAGCCCATGGCAGCCATACACGCCAGCTTCTGGTAATGCTGAAGCTTTTTAATGGTGGTGACTTCATGAAAGAACCTTACCCTGGGGGCAGCCTTTCTTCATCTGGATTGTTCGAGAACTTACTTACAGTTATTTACAGAACTACGATACTTACAATAACTTGTATTGAAAAACAAATAATATGTCATTTCGTAGGGTTCGTAGGGTTCCAGTCTTGGCAGTGAGAGCTGGTTTAGCCTTACCTTTCAAGAATCACAATACAGCAAAGAATAAAACTAACATCTTATAATAAGCTTTATTTAATTATGAGTTAACAAATATTTTCGTATTTTTTGAACAGTTGTGACCTTAACTGAATACAAGTCAAATTGCATACGCAAATATTTTATACATGTTACAGAAAAAAATAAACACTGAGACTGTTTCTATAATAATATAATGAAATATTTATTTATTATTTTTTTATACTTAACAATAAGAATTCAATTCAGTTTCAAAAGCATCATGTATTATAATACATAAAGTTAATAACTAGAGCTCAAAAATCCTTCTCGTGCATCCACAAGCTGACCAACTGAACATGTCTTACTTAGTAAGCACTCTTTAAAATTATAATTTAAATTAACTAGGCAGTACAGAAGTGCACACCGCTTGGGCGCGGTTCGCGTCCATTGCGCCTTCGCAATAAATAGTCATTTGTAATTCATTCACAG